TAATACTTGCTCCTTCACGAAATTACAAGTGTGGCAAATATAAGTACCTAATAGGATCTTAGACAAACTCGACTGATTTAACAAAGCCAGAAGTTTGACTAGAACAATCACAAGAAATACTCCTTGGGAGTGCGGAGTTACCGGAATCAGTTCAGCTGCAACGGGAAGAATTTAAACGATAAATCTGCCGGATATTTTTGGGAAGTCTGAAGGCATTACAGGAAATTTTTCAGAATTACCAGGAATCTAGGAAATTATTCAATACTACAGTACGTAGCCACGTAATTTGACACTGATTAAATAGAAACAGTTCTATCAATAAATACTGATTTTGCAAATCTGCTTGTTAGATTCGGGACAACTTGAGTAAGAAAAATATTATATTCACAACTTGGGACGAAGAGAGCTTGATTAGTCTCTGACTATTCTCCCAATCCTTGCTTGGCTCAAGAGTAAACTATGTCCTTGAGTAGTAAGTGTCACCTACTTCCCTTGTGTGAATAACTATTTAGTACCACAAGTTTTTAGGCAAGTTATGGGACTGATCCATGTTTTTTTTTTATATACTAATCACTTATCCAGGTAGTGTCATTCTATTTACATTTGATTTTTTAGTTTACCAAGAGATGAAATTTTAAGAAAACAACGGATAACATTCCTTGTCAAAAATGGAGCTGCTAAGGAATCTGATAGCTGTAGAAGAGCATCCATATGTGGGGGTCACATCACTCCTTTAAGCTATAAAAGAGATGGTAAACTCTTGATAAAGTAGGCAGTAGGTAGATATTGTGATCAATTGTAAATCTGGTTACTTGTTTTCTGGTCATTCCATTTGCCGATGGTGCCTAACAGCCCATATCTATAGTGCCAAATGGTACCTTTTTTTTCTAACTTGACAGATAAAATTTATCAAATAATTCCACATTCCTCAAAAATATAATTTTGTTGGTAATATGTTACCAACTTTTTTTCGGTCCAAACTATTGATATTTCTCCTGCATAATTTGGGATAGAAAATTTTCCTCCTTGAACATAAGAGAAATGTTTGTTGATAGGGGGGCGTTTTTATGCTTTATTTTCAAGAAGTCAAAATAATTTCTTTCCTAGGTAAAACTAGAGCATATACTAGCCATATAGTTTAATGTTTTATAAACTAACTTTTTTTTATTGCTTTCATCTTCTTTTATGCCATTTTTAAAGGTGGTGGTGATCTTCTCAAATCAAGTAATATAAAAATTCCTTGAAAAGAGTAACACTGAAGCATCTTAGGTCGGACGCTATTGTGCAAATAAAAAATAAATATTATTATTCAATTAAAAAATGCAGCATATGCTTTTATTTAATTTCTTATTGTGTTTATAAGCAACAATGTATTTTATTCTTTTCAATAAAACCCTTATTTAATAATTCATGTATTTATTCATTTATAATTTTACATTGTGTTCATTCTCCAACGTGCTACTATATCTTCTGTGAACTTCAAAACGAGTTATTAAAATGCTATTATAATTAAAGGTAGGTCGTAGTTGTTGAATAAACCACAATCTTGTCAACAAAACCAGTCTGGATTGTGCATCTGGAAAAAAATATTTCTTGATAGGACATCTTCCTTTTAGAATGTTTCATGTGAACTTACACTTTTAAAAATCCCGAGCATTTCTGGAAAAGTAATTTTTGATTATTTATTTATAAATTATTGTGTGAATTGATACTAGTATCTAAAGCCAGGTAGACACAATGCAATTTTTGCTATCAATTTTTTTTTTAAATTTTGATAGAATAAACGACACTTTTTAGGGTTTGGTAATGTTAATTCGGTTACATTTAGGGCTCATTGTTTATTGACTTGTTTTATACTAGTTTTTAATTTTCTTGATTACGTTTTCTAATACCTACAGTTTTTTAACGAAATTGTCCATCGGTCATAAATATAAATATATATATATATATATATATATATATATATATATATATATATATATATATATATATATATATATATATATATATATATATATATATATATATATATATATATATATATATATATATATATATATATATATATATATATATATATATATATATATATGTATATATATATATATATATATATATATATATATCTATATATATATATATATATATATATATATATATATATATATATATATATATATATATATATATATTATAATATATATTATATAAAATGGACAGTCAAGCAGGTCAATTGAACAAAACAATTGAGTTCCAATAAATGTTGCTATATATGATTTGGTTTTCCTCCTTTGAGTGCGGTAACGTGAATTTAAAGGCATTTGTTCTTCGGTCTCACTCATCATCACTGTTCTTTTGCATCTTTAAAACTTTTTATAGGTTTCTTTCACGAGTACAGAACATTTTCTTCCAATCGTTTTTATCTGCTTCTCGCAATACTCTTCCCTAGCAGTAGAAACAATGGATTAACAATTTCCAAAGTTTCCACAACTTTGAGATGATTGCAGATGATTCTAGTATCCAAATTATTTTTAACTTTAAAAAATCTATGTTTTTATCGTAAGTATGTGTTCAACATTAAACATTTTGTGAATATAATAATAATAATAATAATAATAATAATAATAAGTAACTAATAACTAACTAATATAACAAATCGTCTTCAAAAAGCTAAAGTAGACTTGGAATTATTTGACTCTAAGACACTGCTATCCTGGAAAGTACCGGGCGCCTTGTTTAATAGGTTTAAAATAGTTTTTAAAAACCGGTTGCTGAAGAAAGCATGAATTTGTCTGGCAAATACAGTTTTAAAAAAGAAGACCGACTGTAATTAGAGCAAATTTTTAATAGTATTATATTTTCAGCCATACTTGTTACGTTGTCAATGGAGGATATTATCACCCAGGCAAATAATAAATTCGAAATTTATTCCGAAATAAAATTTTTCGCTTTTTCGAATTTCTAAATAAATGTACTAATAAAATTAATTTCCACTGGGGCGTTTTCTCGAGCCATCATTAGCATTTTTAACAGTAAACTGGTCTCCTTTGTTGAAGTTAATGTTCCAAGTACCTGTTTTTTAATGTTTTCCGAAACAAAAATGCACATAGTCGAATTAATGAAGACTTATTATGTCAATATATACATACATAATATATACAAAAATTGATAGTTTTAAGAAGCAAATAAATAAAAACATTCTTCATACATAATTTAGCCTTGAAAGGATCTAGATATAGTTTCATCCTCTTTTATCACTGACGTGTGAAAAATATATCCAATTATATAAAAATAAAAATAGCGAGACAGGCTTATAGAAATCTTGGGCTCTTAACTAGGAATTCAATATGAAAAGCAATCTAAAAATGCTTTATTGTAGTTTAATATGATCGAAAATATTTAAAAAAAAAATAAAAAAACTTCCACGGGCTAATGAAGGCTGATTGGCAAAACGTGAGCAAGTTTTGCAAATAGTAATTAATTTTGAAACTAGATTCTGGAAAGAGAACCTGATACTTATGTCAACAATATATGCGACACAGAAGACTTATGACTCAGTCACTCAGTTTTTTTAAAAGTATATTATGCAACAAATGCGTAGGGCATTTGAGTGTCGAGTTTATTTGAAACGAGCGGAGCGCAGCGGAGCGAGTGCTTATTAAACGAGTGACTTTAAAAGTTTACCGAACGTGTTGCATACTATACCTATTTTACGACTGTTAGTTTTCGTGTATATTTTTGCAAAACAACACAACTATATTCACTGACGTGAGCGTCAGAATTGATAAACGTCAAAATTCAATCCGTGCGGTAAAATCTCGTGGTAAAGTGACGCTTTCCGGATTTTAGATCGGTGTATAATTAGGTATTTTACAGAAGGGAGTATATTACGCAACAAGTGAGGTAAACGGCATTTGACTTACGAGTTTATTTGACACGAGCGGAGCGAGTTTTTAATAAACGAGTGAGTTAAAAAGTTTACCGAACTTATTGTGTACTATACTTTTTCTACGACCGTTAGTTTTTGAAACACGAATACATTCACTGACATGACTGTCAGAATTGACAAACGTCAAAATTCAAAGCGTGGGTAATATCTCCGAAAACATGCGATTGCTTCCAAATCCGTGCGGTAAACTCCTGGAAATGTCCGAAATGGCTCGCATTCATGGGAAACGAAACTGACGTGGTAAAGTGACGCTTCCCGCACGCTAGATCGGTGGGTAATTAGGTATTATATTATATTATATAAATATATTCCGGAATGTTACCAATGTAATTAAATTATTTTGTTTGAACAATTTCTTGAATATATATCTTTCTGATAGAGGGCGTTTTTACGCATATTTAAGACAGTACTAGTTAGGTTGGAAGTTAATTTTATTGCAATTAGAACTTTTTGTTGAGTCTTGGGTGTGTAAGTTGATTTAATATTAAATAATTATTGTTATGTATTTTTTATTGTTTTTCCTAAAAAAAAAATCGGTCAGGCCAGATGCGACAATACTTGCTTCACATCTAAAATAAACAAACAAAAAGTTCGAGTTGATCAATCGCCGAGCCCCCCTCCTTGCCCCGCGATCCGCGATCCCCACCTGTTAAATGGCGGTCCTTTCGGCTTCCTCTTCGCGTTTGTTTCCGTTCATAAAATGCCGGGGCGTCCTCACTTCCCCGCGCCTACGTCCGACGCCGCTTCCTTCGTCGTCGTCGTCGTCGCCGACAATAACCAGTGACGTAGAATTTTGAGGGGGCGTCGAAAAATACGTGGGCCTACGTTTCACATGTTGCGGGACGCTCCGAGTTCATTCATTCATCGTTTCGCTTTTAGTTCTCAATTGTCGTCCGCGTAGGCCACGAGATTGTGCGGATTTTTGCGCGTCTCCGAGTTTTTGTGAGGTTATGCGGTACCCTGAGGGACGGTGGTGCTGGTGCGCGTTCAGTGCGTAGTTAAACCGAGTCGGATATTATTTAGAAAGCTGCGCGCTTTCGTAGTTTGCGATTTTCTGGGCCCGACGCGTTTAAAATTCGCGCCGATGAAGCTCAGTCGGTAATTTTACGTTTGACACGGTGACGCGTCGCCGTACGAGACGCCACGAGTGCGATCTAAGCTGGCAACGGCGTTGTAGAAAGGTGAGGCAGTTTTACATTAGAAAAAGTCCGCTAGTGTAGTAGGGATCGCTGTCTTTCTCTATCTCGTTTATCGAGCGATCTCGTTGTGTCATTGCTTTATATCACGATTCCCTTGGCTATCAAACAATACTTTCTTTAAATATATATAGCGAAATAAAACGACATTTTCCTTTTACTATTTTATAGGAGCGTAAGAAATACGGAAATTAGAAAATAGAAAAAAAAACTAAAAAAACCATTTAATTTAACTATTAAAGTTATTAGGAGAAGTTTTCAAAAGCAGCAACGTGTACATCAATGCATTTTCCACGTTTTTCTATTGAGCGAATTGCCATCGATCTGGTTTTTTTTCTCTTATTGCAGCCTTTAAAACGTCAACGTGTTGGTATCTTTCCTTATAAATTTAGTTATTTAACTAACCCACAAATCCATTTATTGTTGGAAACTGGAAACTACTTCTGAGGTCAAGCTGATCTTGAAAACCATCCAGAGCTTCAGTAATAATTGCAATGTACCGCTCACCGGTCGGCGTTCCATCGTAAAAATATGAACCAACAATGCGAGAACCGCTACAGCACCTTATTTATGTTTTGGCGGCAAAAGTTAACATACCAATGAGAAAAAAAGATCTCTCTGTATCCCTTGCCAAAAGCACTTGAGCTGGTCGAAACTTATGAGGGCTAAATTTTTGTTTTTCCAAAAAGTTTTGGTTTGGTTTGGTTAGTTTTGACTATGTCTCGAATAGAATTGTCACGGTATGCATCAAAATATCCCACAACACCAATTTCCACGTCTTCATTTATAATAAATTTTTTTCGTTTTCTTTTTGCAAAAACGGTTTTATTATTTCTATAGATTGGATTGGATGGATTGGATGTATTGGATAGATTGGACGAACTATTTACTGCATGCCAAATTGCATTTTAGCATGTCGCAATTTTGATACAGTAAAATTAGCGCATTAAAACACATTTTTTGAAAACTAATTTTCTGTTTCTGTTATATTCCGAAACCGAACCGAATTTAATTTCATCTTTAGTCACTAAAACTGACGCTGTGCACAAAGCGGAAAGAAAAAAGCAATACGGGTCGTAAAAAAAACAGCAGTTTTGAAGAGCCCCATTTTTTTAAACTTTGAAACTGGACAATAAAACCAAAAATGTGGAAATGTTACGATTACTGTATTGGGAAATATAATTGAAAATTCCTAAAGGATGCTTTCGTGAAAAAAGGGTCCGGGCTCTTCCATCATCCTCTAGGTATGTTTACAAATGGCGTAGAATCTGCATCATCATGTCATATTTAATAGACATATTTTAGGTTATTCTTCCTAGTACTTTGCGAGTTTCTTCCCGTTTCATGACCAAGTTATTTACTTTAATAATTTTGCTTATTATTCACATCTTTATTTTCAAAATTTTATTAATTTCCCTTACACATTTCTTAGTATTAATATCTAGTTACATACATTTTCTGTATAATCTCCTTATATATAGTAGACGTATTTTAAGCACCGCCAAATTTTTGTTTTATAACATTGATTTAATTTTTAGAGGGCTTTCCGTAAATTAAAAAATATTATAAGGGTATTTTCCTTGTATATGTAAGCGAATTTTGTGGATTTCTGTCTTCAATTTTGAAAGTTTGTCCACGTCATCTTCGTTGAATAGCTCCTAAGAAAAATTTTCAAGACTGCGCTTGGTTTTCTTAAAGCTTGATGATATGAAATGCTTTTTTTTTCTACCAACTTTATGCACAAATGTGTTTGTTCACAATGTTATGCGAAGGAATTTAAAATATTGGCGTTTTAAAAAAATTATTAGAAAATTCGTTAGTCAGAAAAAACAGCAGTTTTCAGGAACATAATTTCAACAAGTATTTATTGATTTTTTGTCATGTCTCTCTAAAAGGAAACCTTTTGCAGGTTTTTACAAATATTAGAAAACAATATCTTAATATTAAGCCCTGCAATCAGTAAGGGGCATTGATAACTTTACGATTCTTGCCAAGTAACAATAATGGCTAACAATGCTCTGTTTAACAATGTGAGATATCAGTTGTTAACCTAGCCATCATATTTTTCTGCTTGTTTTCTCTACTAGTCGACAATTTTTAAATGTTCTCGAGAAATTTTGTAGAGTGCGTGTGATGAATTAAGAACTTTTTTGTAACTTTTTAATGACTACAGGAGTCGCAAACTCTATAGTTACTTTAGGAAATGCGCAAAGTGAGCAAGAAGGTTATTTCCTTCTTAACGAATATTTAAGCAATTTGTAGAAAAAGAAGGAGAATGTAATATCATAGAAACTCTTTTAATATTTTAACGAGAAATTTATTAACTGATTTCGTGTAAAAAAAAGAGCCTACCATTTATATCCGTTGTTTCTTTATTTACTCGCTTCGGGAACTTTTAACGAGTAGCGTTGAAAAAAATTTGTACTGTTTATTGTAATTTGATATTTTTGAATAGTTTGTCTTTATATTAAACATTTTTTCTTGCTATTTCCTTTATTTTAAGCAGCATGAAAGATGATTGTAAAACTGAAGAACTCCGCTGACGCATTCCCGATGTTTAACGTTGCTTTACAGGCTATAATTTATCAATGCTTAATTATATTCATATTCTTCATACTTCAATTCATCAAAATCGAATCACTTATTTTGTTAGTATAATTTACAATGATGTTTTCTCAAAAGTGTTAGACAAAAACGGATTTCCATCTAATCTACATTTCACCCTTCAAAGAAAAGCTTGTATTCAATTGTTACTAACAAAAAATATTTTAGAAAACTCTTTAAAAAGGTATGGAGTAATGTGGTCCCGAAATGGTATTTTACCTTGGAGCCTCATACAATTATTTTGCAGCATTTGGATAGATTTTTTCGTTTTGCCATCACAGAGAGCTGTCAAAAACTATATCACATATCAAATGGAGACAAAACTATACTCTCAAGTAAAAGATTTATTTTTTTATTTTTCATTTTAATTTGAAGAAAAAAATATTAACGGCTTCTGACTAACAAAAACATATCATGGTCAGCCATTATGTCATCGTACAGCAAATAGGTCATAACTTAAGGAAAGCTAATTTCTTTCGTTTTATGTTAGGTTATGAATGAAAAGACTTGTCGGATCGTGTATCCGATACCCGGCCCAGCGTACCTGTTGATCGGCATCCATTACCATATGGCAAGAGGTCATAGCACCTTTTGCCCAAACCGCCATCAAAATGATAACCCTTGCGATGCGCAATATACACAGTGATCTGAACAGAGTGCAATCTACCGCGAACAATCACAACAACAACAACAATAATGGTGACGAGTTCGTTGATATACTACAGGTAAGAACTACTTAACACAGAACTTTTAAATTAGTACGTTTACATTTAGTTTAGAACCCAATACTTCCATTTATGTGAAAGACTAGACAAATTTAGAGAAAGAAATATTTGCAAGCTTGGCAACACCGCTTTCCGATTAATTATATGCAATATTTTCAAAAGCTAAATGTATGGGTTTCAATAATTGGTAGAAAGATACATTACATTACATACATTATACACAAAATGTACCTAAATCAAATGTTTCCAAATCGGAGGACCGGACAAAGTGAAACAATCGATTGGCCCCCTCGTTCTCAAGATTTAAATCCCCTAGATGTTTTTCCGAAACCAAGCCAAAACTCAAATAAAATAGGTTTCTTCTTTGTTTGTTTTGAAATAATTTTTAACGTTATTACCAATTTGTTAAAATTGTTAAAATAGTTTATTCATTAAACCATTAATTATTTGCGTTTATCCTTACAATTTGAAGGACAATCCAGAAATGAATAAAAACATACCCTTCCTATTTAAAATAAGAAAGGTTGGTAATTTAGTGAAAAAAAAACGTGGCAGTGCCTTCTATGTTACCTTTGGATTGAGCATTGGAATTATCACAAAAGGGTATAAAATACTGTAAGCTGAAACATCTAACAAAGTATACCTCTAGGGTTAAATTTAAGCGAATCTGAGTTTCTCAAGAGTGAGTTTATACTTTTGAACAGATACAAACATACATCGAAGATATACAGGCATGGTAGCCTCAGAATTTTTATTTTTTTAAAATAAGGTTTGCAGCTACCTCTTGAGAAGACACCTGCTATGGAGTTGACTGGCCCCAAAAAGACACTCCTTATCTTATTGATTATAATAGTAAATTTGGATTAATTGTTTTTGTGGTTAAACATACGTTTTAATTTTTTCAAGAGAAATGCTACTGAATATAGTTTTGAGACCAAATCATGGCAGTGATATTTGTGTGCAATTTGTGTTGTGACGATATTATTTACTTTAATTTCTAGTTTTGTGCATATTTTTTTGAGGGTGATGGAATCTCAAAGCTCAAAAATTTTTAGGGATTGAGATATAAGCTACGGTTTAGTAGTGCCATGTTAGTAGTACCAAATACGATAACATCCGTCCAGCGGCTGAATTTCAAACACCCAGTATATTCTAGAACGCACCATCAGGGTTCCTCTCTTCTAAACGTGTAAAGTAAACGTGGGTTCCAGGTTCAGCAATTGCTGCTGGACGGGAATCGTCGGGACCCGATGGGTTTCCAAAATCCCCAGCAAACGATCCCGGGGAGGGTAATGGACGGTATAGGAGGGTCGGGACCACCCCCGTATTACTACGGGAACCCGTACCAGGCACCGCCGGGATCGGCTGGCACCAGCATGGAGGATCTGGTGGCCATGTGGTTCTCTGGCGGACCTTCAACTTCAGGTGAGTCTAAACATGTTACGAGACATCTGTTCCGCCTTTCATCGTGACCACGACCGTGACGGTCACCAGTGATTTTAATATTTCGTTATACGTAAATTCTTTGGCTTGGTAAAATATTCACAAAGCGTCTCAAATCGAATACCTTATTTTCAAATGAACCATCGAAATCACAAGCTTAAACTGAATTTGAAAAATTTGTATTATTATATTAAATAATATTCCTACCATGGTGGTATGTATATCTGGCTAGGGGTGTGAACATTATTAATTTATGTACTCCGAGGAGTATTGTATGTCCCAATGTCCCCAAGATTCTTATATAATGCCTCCTAGTCCCTATAATTCCCTCCAATCCCCCAAACTGCCTTTTGCCCACAATGCACCGCAGTTCTTGAAAATACTCTTACATTGCCCATACAATACCTCATAATTTCTAACAATTTCTTAAAATACCGATTAATTCTATTTTTAGTTTATATACCCATCACCTTTTTTCAAACGTATTAAATGCCAAACAAATCGAAATGTGCATAAATAAACTAAATTAAAATTCCTTCATTTGATTTTAGTTAAATTTGATGGGTAGATACCATTTGGGCGCAATTGATTTTTTTAAATAAAAATACCCAAAATATTATAAACAAATGAAATATAAAAAGCTGCCTTGACATCAAACAAATTGTTATTGTTATTTTTCCGTTCATTTAAAGTATTTAAAAAAAACAACTTGGTAGTTTTAAAAGTTTTAAAATCCTATGAAACAGATAATACCTAAATGACGTACTTAAAGTTTTAACTTAACTTAATAAATAATTATTTCATTTTTTATTCCTATAAACTTTTCCATTTATGTAAATAAAAAAATAGGAAACCTTGATTTCAATAAGATAACACAAAAAACTTAATGATTTTATTTTAATATATAATAGAGTGAGAAACAAAATAGGTTTTTGATACGAGGTCGCTAAGGAATAAAAAAAAATTAATGATTATGTATCATTAGTTTTGGGACATCAAAATGTATCATAAGCTCTTAATATCCGAAAGAAAAAATCCAGGTCAGCATTTCACAAGTACAATACTTTTACTTGGAAAACGAGGTGTGAAAACTAAATACAACAGTTACCTTTTTTTGTCAATATGCTTCACGTACTAGTCAAAATTGGCGTCTTCAGGCATTAGAGTAACGTAAACCTTTATAACCCATTAGATATCGACGTAAAACCCCCTTTCTAATTCAAATAGTTGCCGATTTCGATAAGATCCCAGTCAGAATCTGCTTTTTCGCCTTAGAAAAGCAAATATGTACTTAAAAACCCTCTTTTTCGGACAAATAATTGGTTTTCGTTCTTGATTTCGAGCAGACTATTGTCAAAACCTGCATTTTCATAACTTATCGGAATGAAATCCACTCTAAAACTGCAGATAACATAATGAAAACCCACTTTCTTGGATTGCTAAAAGGTTCTTCTTCCATTTTTCAAACAGATTCCAGTGAAAATCGGCTCCTCCGACACATATCTAGCCTAAAACCGCATCAAAACTGCAGATATCAGCTCAAACTATCATTTAGTGGTCCAAAAAGTTACCTTTTGTTGTCAATATGTTTCAAATACTAGTCAAAATTGGCGTCTTCCAGCATTAAAGTAATGAAAACCTTTGTAAACCATTAGATATCGGTGTAAAACTCCCTTTCTGAGTCAAATAGTTGCCAATTTCGATAAGGTCTCTGTCAGAATCTGCTTTTTCGCCTCTTATTGCACCTTAGAAAAGCAGATATATACTTAAATCCATTCTTTTTGGGACAAATAAATGGTTTTCGCTATGAATTTCGAGCACCTTATCCCCGCAATTCGATTCGCAAATTCCCAATTTCCCACAATCCTACGCAATACCCTGCCATTCCTCTGCGTTGTACACCAAAAGGCATTGTGTTCTTACCCCTCGATTGGGGGTAATGGCCCACTCCATCACTACTCCTTTTGCTTGGGTGTCTGTTTTTATACTTCCAACCAACACCTGCGTTTAAATAAAAGTGACAGCATCCTTAATTATTTCCAAAAACAAGAATTTATCGCCTGGTTTTCCAAAAACCCTATAAGTAAAACACAATTTGCGAATGCATTACGAGAAAATGAATAGGTCCGATATCCGCGCCATTTTCGACGCCCCCGCGGATCTCAAAAATAATTACTTCATAGTTTTAATATCACCTTTTTCGGTATACCTTATGTAATTTATGCAAAAATGCCCGTCGCGTTTTAACACGCCCGGTATACCCACATGCGGCCGGCCTGCCTACGCTACTGGCATACGTCAGCCTGTTACATTTTTATTATTTGCCGACGAATTACACCGATATTAATATTGTTATTGATAGGATTTTATATACGGTTTTGCAATTAGAATTAATGATTCGACGGAAAATCAAGCAAGGATTGGTGTGAAAAAAAAAATATTTCCTTCGTTGTACAATAGCATCGTTTCAAGGTGGTAAAAAGTAATAAAATTGATCATTTCGGTAATCATCTCACATAAAATCAAATTTTAAATAAATAAGTAATAGTAATAAATAGTACAATAATAATAATCATATTTTATTGATTCATTTTATTATCGATCTTATTGGCTATGTTAATGTAGATAAGACAAGTGAAATACCTAAATCGAAATATTGCTGAATTATAATTGTAAATAGCATTTTAAAATAAATAAATAATAATAATATATAGTATACTAATAATATCCACATTTATTTTATTATTAATCCCTACGGCTACATTAATGTAGATAAGACAAGTCAAATATCTAAAACTATACAGTGCTGCGATAAATAAAATTTTATGCATTTATACATTAGACAAACAAATAAAAGACAAATATAAACAAAAACATGTTCCAACCTCCAAGAATAGACTCTTCACTTCTTTTTTGAAAATTATAATTCATATGACCTCAAACATTCACAGGATAACGTTTGCCACATGGGTAAAACTTTAACGGGCAAATATGTTCACGGGGCAAGTTTGAAAGTAGTGTTCATTATTTTTAATGACAGTCATTAGACGTGAAGTAATAGAACATTGTTTTTGTAATAGCCACACCGAAATCAATGAGACCACTGATACAAAGACGTACATTTTCCACATTATCGGCAGTCAAGCTTGTACTATGTTTCGATTCTTTAACTTTCATCGTTGATAATAACTGTTCGCACTTACAAATCAATATTCTTGAGAATTTTATAAGCTGCGCTTATAAAATGTCTGTCTTCTTCGAGGTGTTTTTTTGTACAACTCCACGTCTTCAAATTTAAACTTTAGAAGTCTATGACGTTTTTGAAATCGCCAATTCTCTTCGAAAATTGATCCCACAGTAACTTGACTTCTTCAGCATATTGAGCATAAGCAATACTTTCATGCGTAGTGAGCATAGTGAAATGGTAACTGTTACCAGAGAGCATCGGGGCCACCCACAAGAGAATTTTGTTCTGGGACGCCTTCAAATGGTGTGTACAGATAATTTATTATCTCTTTAGGCTGTAAGCTCGACCAGAAATGCGAACTCAGATATCGATTTTGGGTCACTCAATTCAGAGAGTTTTTGCATGAAATCCACTATATCATTTCTAAGCTCCTAAAACCGTTTTAGCATTTTCGCTTTGCTTGCCATCTGACCTCATAATCATATGCTCATAATACTATGATAATAATAAGAACGGCTATAATGGTTAAGCCTTCGATATCAAATAAAATTCATAACATTCTGGAGTTGAATGGACTTAAAATACAACAACAAAAGTTCTGTTGGTGGACAATGCAATCAAGAACTATCAAATCATCTTTTTGCACATTTAATTCAGTTGCAAAATTCTGATAAAACTTTTACGTAAGCTGTCCATAGAAGGCGCATCATATGTGCACTGGATAAAATAGGGAGACCTGTTTATGTAACGAAAGAAAAAAATTATCAACCTATATATGAAACCCAATTTTTTTCATTCGCTGGACCGTCGGAAGTATTTAATTTGGTATCCATTTATTAATCTTGTTATTTTCTCCAAACAACTCCTGGTATCTCAAACTGAATTTTGTTTTTGATGGATAGAAGATGTTGAGAAATTTTTGGAGAAGTGGAAAATCTTAAAAACCTTCTAATATGGGAATATGGGAGTTAAGAGCTTTTGATATGTGGTCAGCGATGTTTTAAATGTAAGAAAGGACAACAACAGTGGTAAGTGTGGGGTTGCTTTCAGACTCATTGTGTTTGGAAGGTTATGATGAAGAGTATTTTGTGATGGTACGCTCAGAATTTAACCAATATGAGAATCAGTCATCTGATAAAATGTTAATGTCCCTCCTGTATCTCCACCCCCTCAAAGTGTATATAAACAGGTACAGAGTAGAATGTGAGTCAGTTTCAGTTAAGCTCTGAAGAAGCCAGCAGGGTGATTGGCGAGACGTCAGCTAGTTGTTATTTTAAGTAAGCAGGTCACATTTGTAAGAAAAAGCGTTTATTGTTTATTGTGAACACACTCTACCCTGACATTTTTTTTAAATTTTCATTTTGTTCAAGCTGCTTTGGAATCTTCTAGAAAAGAATTAAATTTGTTACCCACTGCACCGAAGTTCTTCTGTAAGATTGATAATGGTTATAGAAATCATTTTAACCACTATCCAAATAGATTTTATGCCGTTACTTTACTAACCGTACAGGAAATAAAAAGGGGCGCAAAATATTTACGCCGTTTTTTTTACATCCGAGCCATATCTATGATAAATTTATTGCTATTTAGGATTAGAAAACGCGAAGTTGAACAATAGCTTCCTAGTTTACATATTTTTCTAACCAACTATAAGAACCTTATGAAGCAGATAGACTTATATAAACACAGTTATTTGAAAAGAAATAAAACATGCTCTACACAAATGATGAGAAATCATCTTAAAAATTTCCTTATTCAATTTCATGCTAGTCTGCACTTCTAAGCTTCTAAGCTG